TTCGCATATCCTCCACTGGTTTACTATTAATAATATGGTATTAAATGCCAAAAAAACTAGATGTGTTCTTTTTACCCTTCCCAGTATAAGACGGCAAAGTTTTGATTTAATATTAAATAAAGTACCCATTAATCCAGTTGAGTCTGCTGTATTTCTGGGAATTACAGTAGATTCAAAGCTCCAGTGGAGTCCCGTTGTATCATCTCTGGCGAATAGGTTAAGCTTCGCGGTTTTTGCGATTAGAAGGGTTAGGCAGCTAACAGACATTGACACTGCCAGACTTGTTTACTTCAGCTATTTTCACAGCATCTTGTCATACGGCATTTTGTTGTGGGGTAGTGCATCGGATATGAATTCTATATTTATTCTACAAAAAAAGAGCTGTCCGAGCAATCTATAATATCGGAGCCCAGAGTTCGCTCAGAGATATTTTAAAAGAGATTAATATACTCAATGTTGATTCTCATTACATTTATTGTAATGTTTTGTATATTCGTCATAACCTTAATTTTTACCTAAAGAAAAGTGACAGACATAAATTAAACACTAGAAATAAGGACAAACTTACTACGCCATTGTTTCGCCTACAAAAAGTAAATAGGTCGTTCATGGGGCAAGGTGTGCGCATGTATAATAAAATCCCACAGTCGATATTAAGTCTGCCGCTTGATCAATTTAAACGTAAAATCAAAAGTCAACTTATGGTTAAAGCATATTACACTATTGCGGAATATCTCAACGACGTCAATGTGTGGAGTTGATACTGTTGATACTCACGTAGGGTAGAATAAGACTATTATACCGGTATTTTTTATTGTAAACTGATATTTTTGAAAAAGAGCAACTGTTGAGTTTCTTGCCGGTCTCTTCTCAACAGAAACTGTTTTCCGAACCGGTGGTACCCTACGAACCTATATGTATAATTTTTTATGTAAAATTTGACGATTAATAAGAACGCGCAAGCGTCTATTTGAATAAAGATTTTTGATTGATTGACATACCCTGGCAAAAAAGGACACACTAATGCTTCAAAGGGTTTTGAGAAAAATAACCATATTACACTTGGACTGAATTGAATTTTCTATGTATTGGAACTATTCTTGTTTTTTCACTTGTATGGAAAGCAACTTTGTTTAAGAGAATGACTAAATATTAAAGACAATGGTAAAGATAACGTTTTGCTGCAAAGTTTAACAAAAACCGAAGGTAAACTACCGAAGGTTCGGACTAGCGCTCTTAAATATATCGAGATGCGCCCTTAAATAGTCGGCACCAAAGATTTCACAAACTTGTTTAGAGGCCGTACCTGTAGTTCTTGACGTGTTCGGTAACCTTGTTGAGCTGGTGCACTCCGGAGAGCGCGCTCCGGTACGTCTGCGCCTGAGTGGTCGAGCCCCAGTTCACGTCTGGCTTCCTGTGCGAGACGAGCAGGTAGAGCGCCAGCAGGAAGCCGAAGGTGAGCAGCGCCGTCGCCCACGAGACCACGAACATGATGAGCACGCACAGCGCCGCCCCGAACAGCGACAGCCACGCGTTGTACAGCTGCGGGGAGATGGTCCGCCGCGTTAGGGCCGGCGCGCACGGCGCGGGCCGCGGCGGGAGGGCACTCACCTTGAAGGTGGGGCGCCAGCCCACCGGCCTGGCCAGGCTCGCGTGGAACGTGGAGAAGTTGATGAGCGCGTACGCGGCCAGGAAGAAGTTCGAGATCAGCGGCGCGATCTGGTTCAAGCCCCCTGCGGACAGAACGACAGACACGTATGGCCTCTACGAGGTTCAGGAACGACAAAGCAATATTGCAGCGCGTCACTCACCGATGAGAATGAAAGCCACGGCGATGATGAAAGCGAGTACGTATCCCCTCACGGGCTCGTTGTTGCTGCCGTAGCCCTTCGCGAAGAAATCTAAGTAAGGGTACAGCTTGTCTTGACACAGCGCCTGGAATGTGAAACGCGACAGCGAAATATGACTTATCAATAAACATAAGATTAATTGCAAAAGTCGATCGGGCTGCCAAAGGACTGGAGGCCACTGACCTGGAAGACCTTGGGCGCGGAGACGAGGGAGGCGAGCGCCGAGGAGAGCGTGGCGGCGAAGCAGCCTCCGTAGATGAGGGGCCCCCACGCCGACACCAGCCGGATCACCTGCGGGCGCGAGCGCTCTCGTGGAGCCTTACGGCGGCCGTTCACGCAACTTCAATCGACATGCCTTTAAGGGCTACCTAAATGTGTTCTCCTCTTCAATTTGACTTTCAAGAAAAGAACGCATTTTTACTACCGCTTTCACAAATTCCATTAAGCCCTAATGAACGGAGAGGGCGCTCACGTCGTTGCTGTTGTGCAGGCCGTAGGGGCAGGAGCGGCGCGCGAGGCAGGCGGCCACAACGCCGCCGGCGCCCGCCGCGTCGCGCAGCACCGAGCAGCCCGCCACCAGCGCGATCAGCAGGTACGACAGCGTCGTCAGCAGGATGGCCAGCAGCGTGCCCTTCGGGATGGACCGCTGCGGGTCCTGCGCCGCCCACCGCCCCACCGCTCCACGTTACCACGCGCACTTCGATCCACCACCCACCCCTCCATTGCGATCTCAAAGTTTGTCTCCCAGGATACTAACTTAATGGAGAGGCGATGACGAAGTAAAGCGCAAATAAAAAGACAAACGGGAAGTGCAATCGCGGAACATGGTTTATGTACATAGAGTCAAAAAGACTCACTAACCTTGAGGTCTCCGGAGATATTAGCGCCGGCCAATATTCCAGTAGCGGCGGGGAAGAATATGGAGAAAACCGAGAAGAAGTTGTGCTCGACGCCTTCAAAGTATCTATAGTCTGACGCGAGATTGCTTTGCAACACCGTTACTGCACACAGAACATGGATTATGAAAAGCATCCGTATCCACCGGCTTTCTGCGATCGCCCAACAAACAAAACACAAAAATCAAGGGTAATTCAAGGAAGCACATGCGCGGATATAAACATGCGAGCAACTTCCTTAATGATCCTTCCATGGTACTATCGATATCTGGCGATAAATGGTTGCCATTATGCCCAAAAGAACTCACAGTTGAAACCGACGAAGCCCTGGGCGACTTCCAGGTCGCTCTTGGGGCCTATGACTGAGCCAATGCAGAAGTCGGCGATGGCCGCCAACAGCACAATAAGCAGAACAATCTGCGCTTTTGCCTCCCACTCCATTCCCACCATCACGATCCCCATCAGGATCACGATCGTGATGCAGCCGTAAATAGCTTGGTCCTGCGAGGCGAACGTGATATTGTTTAAAACAAACGACCAGACCTAATCATAAGCAAAGGGGTTGGTTGCTCATGATTTGATAAGTTTACGGCTAATTCTTCGACGGTTCGATTCGAGAGCAACTCACCCAGCTCTTGCTGACCATGTAGGCGGACTCTGGAATGAGCGTGATCAGGGACTCGCCGAAGCCCACCACGTACATGGCACAGGCCACGGCGTTGGCCATCGCGAAGATCAGTCCGATGGAGCCACCGAACTCGGGGCCCAGCGACCGCGAGATCATGTAGTACGTGCCACCTGCGCTCCAAACATTTGGCCTTATCAGACGGTCTAAAGATACCCGATATTCATATCTGTAATTCGGGAAACCGACTTCACCTGCATATCTCTAATTTGGGTTGGCACAAATTATCCTTCATTACAAACTTTTTTATTTGTTGGACAACGTACACACTGTCACTGTGACTTCTAAGAGTTAGAGTCTTCTTTGACTAAAATAGTAAACACAGACTTACCGCCTTTTATTACACCATTGGTGCTAATGGCGGACATGGATAGCGCTGTGATCGTGGTTACCACCGAAGTAGTAATGATGAGTAGCATCGCTTGAACTGAAAAGATCATTAATCATTTTATTCAAATCAAAATGTTTCTGAATTTGTTTGTCAACAACAGTACACAAAATTACCTAAAATGTTTTCCCTGCACCTCCTATAATACGATCTATCTTACTATCAATGATGATGGCACTTCGCTAATGAAACTCAGTTCGTGCGTGTGTATATTCATAAAAACCTGAAGAGGCTCACCGATACCCGCCTGCCCCACGACCCATGACAGCCTCAGGAATAGCATCACCCCCCATATGTTGAGCAGACATCGCATCAGCACGCCCTTTATCCAGCCGAACTTGACGTTTGCGGCTGCCGGCACCGGGTCCGCCGTATCTTTCTCCAAGGCCTGGTCTGGCTGGAGGGAGTGGCATTCGTCGGGAGGAGTTCCACATTGACAAAGAATGGCGAATGGCATTTAGACACTGCCACTGGCAATAACATTGGTAATCTCGATATATAAAAATGAACCGGTGAATGTGTTTTAAAGGCAAATCTCGAGAACATCTGTACCGATATCGCTAATTCTTTTTTTATAATATTCTTTGAAGTACGAGGATGGTTCTTGGGGACAAAAAAATTTAAAAAATTGCCTGGAAAAGTCTAAAAACAACACTTTTCTATATTCTCCTACAAAAGATTCGTAATAATACTTAAAAGTCAATTTGAACTTTAATACCATACCATAAAGTTTAAGTGTTAGTGGAGGAGTTTCAAAGGAGGCAAAACGAGTGACTGTGGTAAAATGTCACTTAAAACGTGTATTTGCTGTACATCACTACATAGTTTAAAACAACGTACCGCTGTCTGACTGTCCCTATGTATGCTTAGATCTTTAAAACTACGCAACGGATCTTGAAACGGTTTTTCTTTCTAGATAGAGTGATTCAAGAGGAAGGTTTATATATATATAACATTGCCCCCGTGCGAAGACGGGGCTTAGTGCTTAATATAAATCTGTAAAGACGGTTGATTTGTGCAAGTTACAGCCTAAAAAGTAGTAGAATTTTGAAGAAAAAAAACAGCAAAACAGATCAAGACATATTTTTTCGCTTATTTTTTGTACAGAGCTGTAATAAAAATAAATTTTGGCTTTTTCCAGCGGCAAAGAGTATTCCAACGGTTTCAAAAGACCGGTAAGAACAAAGATCAGGCTGCCTCTTAACGCATAATTATAAAGAAGACCTATTCATCTTGAGCACGATGCCAAAACATCACACTGCTGTTCAGGTCTGAAACAGTCTTCAAGTAAATCACCACAACTATGAGATCTCTGAACATCAACAGCTGCTAGGTTTGAATTGTTCTTTCTTTTATAAACTGTGCTATATATTTTGTTTTCAAGAGTTAGTCTTTCTATGTTTTTATTTAAAATTTAATAGTGTGCAAAACGTATACATATTTTCCTTTTATATGAGTATCAATAATTCATCTAGCACATACTACAGTTCCACGAATCAGTTTTAAATGTTTAAGTATCTATCACAGTTTTCCTGCGTTCCAGTGCATGTATCAACATATGTTATATTTGTTTTGTTTAACTGAACAACATTTAAAATGTTTTTCATTGGCTTCAAAAGCTTTTAATTTGATTAGACACTCATGTTTCTAGCAAAATCGTTGAGCGCGTGACGAATTACGTGGCCATCATATACCGTATGCAACGTTAACACAAAAGGCCTTTTCAATAAATACAAAGTTTTCTTTAACCTTATGGTTTTTTAAACTTATCTGATACTGCCACCTCTCACTGTGAGTGAGAGCGGGCAAAAATGTAAATGCAATTCTCAGCCAGGTATCACTAGACGTTAGTAGACAAACACTTTAGGTGGAGCACTGGTGGCTTGAATTTCAAATCCACACAATTTTTTCGACTCCTATACCCCCTCTTGAACCCCCTTTTGAAAAAAAGATAAAGAGTTAATACGCAAATTAATTAAAAAAATTTAATAGTGATGTGGACAATTTTACCTTTGGTTTGAAATAAAAGATCAATAAGAAATGAGACTCTTTACTACCAAGTAAAGAGTCTTAGCCTCATCGCTGTTCAGATTAGGTTCAGGATTCATTATTAATGGCGACACGTTAATAGTCAGGGGCACAGCACACAAATACCACTTATAGGGTCACCACGTGGCCGCCCACGAGTGACCTGCGTCAGGCGCAACCCTTGACCTCATAATACTCGATTACGTTATATCTTTCAAGAGATGACGAAACTATTGTATAATGCAATAATTATGGTAATAATACTAATACTTCAAAATATATTGATTATATAAATTTCACTGAGAAATGTGAAGGTAACCTAACGACATTTTCTCATTATTTTTATAGCTGTTAGTACATCTGTCAGAATGGCATGCATCGTAATGGTAAATTAAAATTGTGATGTTGTAATCTGGCTTCGCCTTGTGAATACATATGTTAGATAATCTTCCTAGCTTGCTTGCCAGTTGAGTGGGAGAACCGCGGCGCACCGGCATGGCACACCGGCACACCGCCAGGTGAGACGCAATTGCCGCTAATGGGACCTCCTTATTAACTAATTGCTCCTTTGTATCCACGCCGCTGTATTAACTACGTCGTAGCGTCATTGAAAGTACCATGTATTTCCTTTGAACATATTTATCTTTTTTATGCCCTGCCCTTTTCACACATTAGGTTATATGTATCTTACATATTAAGTCTAGCTTCTCGAATCGTTCATTTTTTATGAAAATTTGGTCTACTGTATGTAGCACTCATACCCAATACCCAAAAAGTTTTGAAGAGTTTTCAACATGTATGAACCGAAAGAGTTCTAGGCTTTCTTCTGCGTGTTCATCCTGATATTTGAGATATTACACTTAATAGGCCACGCACAATATATAATACCTATCTATGCGAAATGAGTTTGTTTCTAAACAAAGTTTATGTCGCCATCAGCTGAATCAACAATGACGATTCACGTTCACGTGTTCCCAGTACTGCTTCAACTCATATGAACTGAAACTTTATTACTCATATGACACTGAGATCTTTTATACATATATACTATTGCAGCTTATTACGCGTCACGTTTACTTTAACATTCTGAAGTTTTGAGCGTCTTTAATATATTTAACAAGTCATATTCATGTGTTGGCCTATATTTCTTGTCTGGTTTTTTGAATAAAGCTGCGAAGGGTGGATAACAGAGCCTGACCTTCCTCGACAGCGAAGCGTTGTGCAGCTCGTCGAGAGTGGGTCGCGGTGCGGCGTGCAGGGAGAGCACGTTCCTGTAATTGTCCAGCCGGGGAAGTGCTTCCCGAGTGAAATGCCTGCAGAACAAATGGGGATAAACCTTGCTTGTTGCAATCATAAATTACATATTTGTACACTTATATAAATCACTCTAAAGCTTGAGAGCAGACGATTATTAAATCATTAAGAAAATATTACCTAAAGCTCTTTCCATACTTGGTGTCGGTAACTGTGAGGGGATCGTCACTGCCCACGCCGGAGCCATCGGAGTCTTCGGAGTCGTCCTCGTCCGTTTTATTTTCTTCCATCTATCAATAGTTAACAACAGATAAAACAAGAATTTATTTCTTTTTTATTTTTCTATGTATGTTCTGAAGGATTGGACTTTCTGCAGGAAGGACCAACACATTTATCCAGAACAACCATTTGTAGGCTTACTCAGAGTGTGAATCAAACAAATGGTCCACTGCTTCGAAGACTGTATCTAAACCCAAGGACATCAGAATAAGTAAGACTGCATATACATTATTAAATAATTTGTGGAATGATATGTATATAGTCTCACCGGCACAATTAGCGGAACACAAAAAATAACATTATTTTTTAATATTTCATAAAACATTGGCCAGCATTCTTACCTATTTATTTAGACCTTTAATTTAAAATCGAACCTATGGCGACAGTAATTTTTTTCTTGATTTTTCTTTGTTTCTCGGTAATGCTGATTATTTAGTGTTCGAGCTCGGTCTAAGGAGAACGTTTCGAAAATCCCTGAATTCTCACTTTTATTTATAACAGTTATTTTTTTCGTGTCAATAGTAGGCAACGTAGTTTGCATATATAATAGCGCCCGTTCTGCGACATCGTGAGTGATTGAAGCCATCCAGCCAAAGTCCGCCGAAGCCACTCCGCCTAACGTCGAGGTATTAACTCCGTGAAGCGTCGAGCAGCCTAGGCCACCTTGTCCGGAACGTGTGCGCCGTACACGCCTCGCCGAGACCACGTACCCCCGCGACAGCGAGACTACGTGTGCGACCTCGCACTGTGTCCCCCCTTTCCTTGGAAAGGGGCAGGCAGTGCGCGCGCTTGGAAGCGCGACGAATCCCGACTTACACTGCGGCCTTGATACCTCTCCCCGCTCGCTGGGCGCTTCGCTGGGCCTCCCCTAGGGGTCTCACCCGGCTAAGTGGCCCGCGCTGAGGGGAGCAAGGTACATCGCTCGCCTGGGGATTGACTCCGCCCGCAACAACGGGCCGTGACGGAGCCGCGAACGATGGAGGGCATATCGCCCCCCAAACCTCGCAGGAGAACGCGCACACCTGTTGCCATGGACCAACAGGACATCGAGGAAGCTGAGCTCCCAAGACAGCTGTTGTGTCCACAGCCACAGCGCTACCAAGTAGCCGAAGAATACCTATCGACCAGCGAAGAGGAATACCGTAGAAGTGCCGCAAGCGTCTCAGAGGTGGCGGAAGTCAAGGCCGACGGTGGTGCGTCTAAGTACGTATCCACCCCGGCCAAGACGTACCACCCTAGGAAGACCCGCAGGCGACATACGCCGCCCGAAACCGACGCATCGCTATTAGAAAAGCGACAATGCGTCGAAGAAATGGACACCGCACCGCAAGACGACCAATATGAAAACGAACACAGGAGTACCAACACGACGCGATATTCACAACCGCCAAGATCGCCCTCGTACGACTCAGTACAAGCGCCATCCGAGCGCATGGAAACAGTACGAGAAAGTACATCCTATGCAGCCATAACAAAATCGCCTGTGCAGCCAACACCGTCGACATCTGCTCAGACGGAGGAGCAAGCACGTGCAGCTCCCGAAGAAGATACCACAAAAAAGGGATATCCACCTATAATCGTCGAAAAACTGCCCGATTGGGCTCACCATTTTTTGGCGCTTAAAAATAAGCTCGGACACGCGCCGAACGCGCGAGCTTTCGGAAAAGGCATCCGTTTTCTACCCCAATCGGGGCATGAATATCGAGTTGTCCAACGACACTTGACTGCAGCCACCAACGAAGATAGCAGCATAACTTGGTACTGTTATGCTCCGGCCAGACACCTCCCCACTAAAGTGGGCATTCGTGGATTGCCTGAAACGACACACCCGGGGAGCATAACAAATGCGTTACGCGACCTAGGGTTCCCGGCGACCTACGCAAAATTGATACCTCCAATAAGAAACCGAAGCCGATGCGTATTTTTCGTGCAGCTCGAGCGCCTCAATAACAGAGAAGCAGCCCGACTGTATGACATAAATGAGCTCCTCAACATGCCGGGCGTCCAAATCGAGGGGTGGAAGGGGAGAACAGGCCCACCCCAGTGCCATAGGTGCCAAAAATTTGGACACTCATCGGCAAATTGCCACAGACCGGTTGTCTGTGTTCGCTGCGCAGACAACCATATAGCAGCCAACTGTCCAGTGCCGCTAACCACCCCCGCACGTTGTGCAAACTGCGGGCAAAGACATCCGGCCAACGATAGGCGCTGTCCCGCGTTTTTAAGAGAGGCAAGAAAACGCGGGATAGCAATCAATCCGCCGCGGCCGAACATAAGAAATGAGAGAACGGGATGGACGACCGTCGGACGAAATGGAGATAGCCGCAGCGGGGGGACAGCCCCCCCCCCCCCCCCCTCAGACTTCCCCCCTCAGCCTAACGAAGGCGAGAGCATAGTAGCAACCGCATTACAAACCCCTACCGCAGTGCGAACCACTGCGGGGGACATATATAGACAGCCTGCCTCGGGCGCGCGCCCGCATTCTACAGTCGTCGCCGACGCCGCCTCCACTGCCGCCACCTTATCAAGACCAACCACAACAATTACTACACTCCAGCCACCAGCCAACCCAGCTACAAGTAGGGTTAGAAGCCATCGTCGAAGACCCGCGGCCTCATCACAAGACGAAAGACCGTCAACTCACATCACCCGAGAACGGGAACAAGCCACCAATACGGAGACGGAGACGGCGTTACCTCACCGCCCCCCCCCCCCCCCCAACAAAGAAGCCGTCAAACATACGTCGAGCAAAGGACGGAGACAGCGCCTGCCAGTCGTCGCCCCCTTCGCCCTCAAGACCACCGCCAAGCCACTGAAGCCCCTAGAACTGTGGAGGAATTCACAGCATCTCTTCAACAATTGATCCGCATATTGGCGGATGCATTAATAACTATTATAGCCGCAATGGCATCCGGACAATCACCGATAGGAGCAACCTTACATACTCTGTCTACGCTACTCACCGAGCATCACGGCGAATAGTAAAATAGCAATTACCATCAAACAGTGTTGCGCCATTTTTATGGCGATATTAAAACAACACAACATATACCATCTGGCCAATTTGGCCCAAATTACCGGGGGCACAGAGAGGCCCCAGAGATGAAGCCCGGGTCATGAGATATGTTCTCGACACCCGTACCTGCAGGCCCCTCAAGGCCGAGTAGATGACCCGTGTGTGTGTGTGTGTGTGTGTGTGTGTGTTTGCATATAATAAAAATGCACGATTTAACGGCACCAGAGATTATGAGAGCAGATGAAATGCGAAAATATAATCATACGTACAGATCTATTGCCGCCAGACCGAATCTATTGCAGCAGTTAATTTCAACGATTCATCCCAGTATTCGACGGCACCGGCTGACTGATTTTCTTGTGAGGAGGAGAGGGGCAGAAAAACAATCGACCAAAGCTTCAAAACTTTAAAAAATGGCACCGAGGATCGAACAATAATACGATAAATTCACACTTCAATACAGATCTTAACAAATCGACAAATTAATATATCATGAATTTTTGGTAAAATTTGTTAGTTTCGGTAGTTGGTATTGACCCAGTTCAGCAAACACAAGGGCTTAAATCGTGTTCGGTGATTTAGCTTCTGTTAATTTAACGAAATATTTCATATATGCGTGATGTATGTATTATGGTTTAAACGCCTACTCACTGTACGTAGAAATGTTGGTATAATATCCTTTTTAACATTTCGACGTTTATTAATAAGGTTTTAATAGTTGAAAAGTGACGAATGTGTGTTGCACCGGCCTTCTTTGGCAGTGGTAGCCGGTAGGTACCGACCTAAGTTTCCTAAGTGAATAATAATATTCTAGACAGACCTTATAACTCCGAACTAGTCTGCAACTAGTGTTTACATATATTATTGTACTAGCTGTTGCCCGCGACTACGTCCGCGTGGAATAGGGTGAAAGCGAAAAATTCAGACAGATACAGACAGATATCTAAACATATAATAAAAATGTATCTTGTCTTTGTCTGTACATGAAAGACATTTGAGAAAAACTATTATTAAAGGTCCACCTTTATCAACGCAATAGAACCCAAAACAATGGTTGTAAAAATTGTTGTCTGTGTATCTGTGCTATTGTACGCGCCAATCTCAGAAACGGCTAAACCGATTTGGGTGGAACTTTAACTAATGCATTGTAGTACTTCACTTACATTTAGTGTTATTTGTATTCAAATCGGTTCATAAAAAAAAAGTTATATCAACTTAAAAAAAACAATAGCTACAGCTAAATTGGATGAAACTATAGTTAACTATAATTATATTATGGTCTGTAAAATGATTATTAGATTACATAAATTTAAAAACCAGCCAAATGCGAGTCGCAATCGTGCACGAAGGTTTCCATACCATAATCTATAAAAACGGCAAAAAAATCTGTTGTATGAGGACCCCACTTTAAAAATATTCTGAAGAAAATTTACGTTTATATGAAGTTAAGTTTATATGAAATTGAAAATGGAATCCGCAATTGCACAATTTTACACCGACATTGCGCGGGATTCTATATGCAGAAAGGCCACTTGCAGTAAGCGAACTTAAAAACTCAACCGGCTAATTTGTGGCTTGGTCATTGCTTGCAGTGAGCATAATGCGTTCACATAACGATCTCGAATATCCTGATATCACCAGGAAAATTCTTGGTTATGTTAACACTTGAAAGTTCCCCAAATACTGAACTTATCAGTTTGTTTTCGGAGAAAACGACTGTATCAAGTTTGTCCGGAAGACATACCTCCCCTTTTTTTCTCTGAAAGGATATCCTTTCTGCCTTCGGAAAATCGGAAAATTCTTGGGCAAGTAAACGGAGTCCGCACGTTAACTGTTAACCGTAACATGTGTTTTTGAGGCCAGAGATAAGAACGCTTCTGTGGGACATTTATTTCTTCGCTTTAGTACCCCGAGTAATGAGAGGAAAGGTTTTCATTCATTCATTACCTAGTGTGTGTGTAGTGCCAAGTTCAAACTACTCATGAGTGGAGTTGT